AGTTTTGAATGTGGGAACAGGTATATGTTTAGAGTGGTCTTTATGCCTTTAAGTCAGGGTAATCCACAGGTTTTCCCATCCTTCATACTGCTATCCCCCAGGCCAGACTGCACCGACCAATCACACTTTGGTTGCAAGTGCCAGAACCCCTGTTTAAATTAGTTTAGGAACAAAAATAAAATTCATGATAACAATGGAGAATGGTTGCCCCAATTGTCCTCTCTGTTCTGCATGTCAGCCTTATTCTCCTCTCTTTCCTCATATGATAGAAAGATGGACATTGATATTTCCTGGGCTTTTCAGCTAACATAGTTGTCCACCTGCAGAGCGACCACCTGAACTCTTCAAGACCTAAGTCCAAGACCAATGGGAGATTGTTCAGTGGCCCAGCCTGGCCACTAGCCTTCTTTCGGACCAGTCAACTGTGGTGTGTGTGTGTGTGTGTGTGTGTGTGTGTGTGTGTGTGTGTGTGTGTGTGAAGTGGTAGCATATCATTGGAGCTCCTGAGAGAACAATTTGGGTGGGATGAAGGGAAGTGGTTTTGGAAAGATGGAGGCAGTATTGAGAAAGCCATGATGTATATGAGTCTACTATAGATTATTGGAAATGAGTCTGAGAGACTAGGACTAGATGATGACTAGGAACCAATGTTAGACATTTTATGTGTAGTAAAGAGAGTCTGGAGATTTCATTGAGAAATTAAAAAAAATTCATGTGAAACTTCAGATAAGACAGAGACATTATCAAAATGTTGACAAATGTTATGCCTTACTTATTTTCAAGTACTTCAGTAAAAAAACAAATAGATGAAAAAAAAATGGCAAAAGGTTGATATTAAAATTAGGTGATGTGTAAGTAGGCATTTACTATTTTAGTCTTTCTGTATATTTAAATTTTTTTATTATAAAAAGAAAAAACAGCCCTGGCTGGTGTAGTTCAGTGGATTGAGCGCAGGCCTGCGAACCAGAGGATCGCAGTTCAATTCCCAGTCAGGGCACATGCCTGGGTTACAGGCCAGTTCCCAGCAGGGGACCCACGAGAGGCAACCATACACTGATGTTTCTCTCCCTCTCTCTTTCCCTTTCCCTCTAAAGATAAATAAATGAAATCTTAAAAAAAAAAAAGAAAAAATCAAATTCCAAACTGGATCTCTGAAAAGAAGTTATAAGTAGCATATGGGGGAAAGATGACTAAACTCAAGAGATTTCATAGGTTTATAGACATTAGAATTAAAAGGGACTTTAAGATATCGTATAATCTAGTCTTTTATGCTTTGCTTCTAGTTCGCTAACAATGTATGTGTCACCAAAATTCTGCAAGACTTAGATATTTATTTGTTCTCAAATAGTCTCTGCTAAGCTCCAAGCGAGCTAAGACTGGCTTTCAGGTACCGGCAAGGTAGGGAGGTGTGAGAGGAGAAGAAAGTGAGCCAACCCTGCTCTCTGGGCATTCAAGGCTGTTAGTGCTTGGGCTCCAACTGAACCGCTGTCCTCTGTGCACCTTCTGTGCCCTAGTCATTTCTTCTGTGCCTGGAGCATCTTCCTTCCCATCGATACTTGATAAAATCTTATTTCTCTTATAAAGCTCTTCTCAAATATTAGCACTTTTGTAGTATCTAACTGGATTTCTTACTGAGATCTGATATCTCTGCTCACTAAATCCCACTTTCTGAACTTGCCATGTGGAATATACTACATTTTATTTTTATCATCTCTTTTTGGAATTTTAATTATATATTTAAAGATTTAGTTTATTCATTTTTAGAGAGAGGGGAGGGGAGAGGGAGAAGCATCAATGTGTGGTTGCTTCTTGCACGCCCCCCCCCCCCCGGGGACCTGGCTCACACGCAACCCAGGCATGTGCCCTGACTGGGAATCAAACCAGCGACCCTTTGGTTCACAGGCTGGCACTCAATCCAGTGAGCCACACCAGCCAGGGCTATTTTAATTATGTTTGAAAAATAGTTTCCTTCCTATTAGATTATAAACTCCTGAAGAAGAGGGATCATGTCTTCTTAGTTTCATGTACTCAAAGCATAGCACAATGACATATATAAAGGAATTTTTGGGGGGATAATATTGGACTTATTGTGTAAGACAGAGACAGATTTATGCAAAATTATGAGTCATCTGTTTTGTTCCGAATGCTTATTGGCATAAATTGACCCTTTGTCTGAAATTATGATAAGGGAATATGATTATTGATTTTTTCCAAATAACCTTTTGTTGCAGCAAGAATTTTTCCAGAAAGCTAAAACCCTGGCAGAAGAAAACGTTACTCAAGATTTCCTTTTTTTTTTGGAATTGTGATTGTTATGTTTTGTGCTATTTAGGAGTTAAAATTAGGATTAATGTCTCCACTCCGGTAAATTCTCCACTCAGTTTGGGCAGCAAATGCACAAGGAACAATCCCAGAATGGAAGACAATGCTCCATGTATCTGAGCAGCTATCTGCTACCTTTGACAGACTCTGGTAAAACCTTAACCCAAGGGCATGACTTAGCGTGGCTGAGCCCAGCTGGTGCTGCTGCCTGTGGGAATCAGGAGAGTAGAAACTGATAGCACTGCTCAGCTGGTGGCACGCAGTGAATGACTACGAGGAAAATGTGGCCCTCTGAACGTCGGGCTCTGACAGTTACTTTAGCCACGCCTTCTCTCCTGGTTGGGTGTGTGGATGGCAGGACAGAGGTGAGGCATGTTTTTTTTTTATTGTTGTTCAGTTACGGTTGTCCCCATTTTTCTCCTGAAGAATGGGCTTTGACAAAGGTTATTTTAGCATAAGAAAAGGATATGATCTCTCTCCTCCTCACCACAAGTTAAATATTTTGAAGGTTTATTGCACCTCATTCGTGTTCACTAAGCTAATTTATTTAGTGCAAAATATACCTACACAGTGTCATTTTGAAGTGATAATTAGAAACATACCCTGAGACTTTCAAATTACAGTGTAATCTTGTAATGTGTGACTATTTTCTTGAAATCTTCGGGAAAGATTTTAGGATTTTTTTTTTTGGTCAATTTTGAAGAGATTTCTATGTCATAATTCAATAAATTCTGTTTGGGCTTTATTCTATTTCACCATATTAAAAACATTAATGTGGAACTTTAAGCTCATAAATCAGTTACTTTCAAATGAACAAAAAATGACATATCTCTTAGTGTAAACACTAAATTAACTTCCTATTGTGCATTGTTTGATTAATCTAGAATCTAACAAACATTCTGTAAGAAGCTACCAACAAAAATAGGAGAAACATATATATATATCCAGTCACTCCCTTCCCTTTTGATTAGTGAAATTGTTTTACACATTTCATACCCTCTATTTGAGGAAATGCAATAATTGCATAAGAACAAATTAGCATATATTCATATATCTATTACATATCTTAAAGTCTATATATTTTCCTAGTAGCACGACAACTTGTTACTACCTAGATAGCCATCTTTTTTTTATTCAATAAATATAAGTTGACCCCTGACTGGTGTGGCTAAGTGAGTTGGGCGTTATCCTGCAAACTGAAAGGTCATCATTTGGATTCCTGCTCAGGGCACATGCCTCGCTCGGTTCTGGGCAAGGTCCTTGTTGGGGGAGTGCCAGAGGCAACTGTTGGATGTTTCTCTGCCTCTTTTCCTCCCTTCTTTCCCCTCTCTCTAAAAATAAATAAACAAAATCTTTAAAAACATATAAGTTGAAGAGTCATGTGGGACCAGAGTTCTGCTAGATATTAGAGATATGCTGAAGCAGAGAGCATGACTCCTGCTCTGTGCAGCTTACAGTCCAGCTAATGAAGACAGACACAGGGAAAGTCACAAGTGTTTTTGAAGGAAAGGGGCAGAGTGCAGTAGAAACTGAAGACCAATTATCCAGGCTGTGGCTCATTCTGATTTCTTGATTTTTCTTACATTTGAAAATTGAAGAGAAAGGAGGATAGAAGCTACAGTAAATGATGGTATGCATGCATACGTATCTTCCGGAAAGAACATTATTTGGTCAAAGAATTGAGGTTCGTTCTCTTAGTCCACTTCCCTGGAAGGCTCGCTAGTGTGTGTCTACAGTGGTGTTCATGACACCCCCCACCCCAACCCATCCCATCTTATACCAAGACCCTGAAAGAAGAGAGGAGGGAGCGGTGTGGAAGAGACAATGTGGAGATGTAATGCATTCAGTTTTTCACCTTTGGAAGGACTAAGAACTTGTTGGTGAGCTCCTTCTTTAGAATGGATAGTCAGAGGAAATAGGAGGTAAGAAAGCCATGGCCTGGTGAGGAGCAGAGTTCAGGGTCGAATTCCTTTTGCTTTATCACTCTCTGATCGAGAGCTGATAATATCAAATGAGTACAGAGCTAGGGAACTGAAGAGCCTAGGCTATTTTACACTGACCTGGAAAATGTCAGGATAAATTACGGAATGGCGGGGGGGGGGGTTCGGGTGGTGGGGGAGTGAGGAGGAGAAGTTGGGTACGGTAGTCCTTTTAGAAGTCTCAACGCTCTCAGGATATTTAGTTGTCCTCCCTCCCACTCCCAGGCCCGCCTCTGAGTTGTTACCAATTCACTGAGAGGGGATCGCTGGTAAATGGGAATTGAAGGCTTGGGGAAGGAGTCAAGGACTAGGATCTTAATATGAGACTGACATCTGCTCATGTCACAGTTTCAAAGATGTTGATGGTCCAGACGTTGCGGGAAATAATCTCAGAGTGGCTGTTAACCGTGCCCAAAACTGAACAGGCAGCATCTATTTAGAAGGCAGAATCCCGCTCTGCGGCTAATCCTTTAATTGGCCGGCGCGGCGCAGGAGGCTACGGTGTGAGTGTGCAAGTGGCCGGCCCCGTCGCCGCAACCCCGTCTGGCGGGCACGCATCCCGACCGCGCCTGGCGCTTCCCGCGAGCCCGCTGGGCGCGTGCGCGCACGGCCGAAACGCGTGCTACTCGCGCGCGCCGCCTCCCCCGCGTCTCCGTTCTCCCTCCCCACAGCCGGTCACGGGCGCCCCCACCCTCCCTGCGCTCCCACAGCCGGAGCGCCGCTCAGCTGACCGGCGGGCGCCAGACGCCGGGCTCACCGCTCGCTGGCGCAGCTGCGGCGGGCGTGAGCCTCTTCCGCCGACACTCCCCCTCCGCGCCCTTCCCCCACCGGGACCGGGAGCCTAGCTGACCCGGAGCGAGCTCGCGGCTGCTTCCCCGGCGCCGCGCGAGGAGCTAGGCTGTGGTGACTAGCGGTGGCAGTCCGGCCATGGGCGCGCCGGTGTCGCCCTAGGACGGGGGCGCGGAGACCGCAGCCAGAGTGGCAGCCGCTGCAGCGAGCCTCCCGGGCGACGGCGGCCGGAGCAGCGGGGCCGGGATGAGCGGGAGCGGCGCGGCCCCCGGCCCGGGCTCGGGCTCCTCCCAGGCCGCCTGCCGCTTCGCGCACTACTTCGTGCTGTGCGGCATCGACGCGGACAGCGGGCTGGAGCCCGACGAGCTGGCTGGTAAGGCCGGGCTGCGGCGGCGTGGGGGTCCCCTCGGGGACGCGCGGGAGGCGGAGTGCAGGCTCCAGACAAAGTCAGCTCCCAGCGGCGCCCGCTCCGCGGCCGGACCGGCGCTAGGGCGGTTATTTAATGACATTGTTATTTATTCCGCGTGCTGGGTGCGCTTCTAAGCCGGGGATGCCGCGCTGCTAAGGACGTCCGCCGGGGGCTTTGCTTCCAGGCTCAGAGTTGTTAATAATGGGGGGGGGAGGGGCAGAAGTGGCCCTGAGGGCACGACCCTTACGGACTCGGCACCCCCTCCCCCGGCAGCTGCACCGGGAGGCGGCTAGTGAGTCACTGGTCAGGCTAACTCTCCGGCCTGCTGCGATCCTGCGTCTCCCACCCCCCATCCTCTGCACACCGGCCGCGAAGTTTCAGCCCCGGCACGTGACGCGACGCTCTGGTCCTCTTAGGGGAGGGGGCGTCAGAGACCGCCGGGCTTTGGGGCGAGCGCTGGGAGGAACGGTAGTCGGACCCTGGCTGGATGAACCCTGGCTGTTCCCAGCTCCTGCGGTGACAGTCGAGTCACCTTTTGGAATCCTATTTGGCAGTGTCACGGAGCTCGCGAAGACCTTTGAACACCTGGGACCAGCACCACGCTTTGTTGACACTGTATATTGTTCCCGAGTTTTAGTAGTTGGATATTTTTTCCCTTTGTTAGGTGCTCGGTGTGTTACTGCCTGGCTTTTCCTAGAGGGGCTCTGGTTCCTCATCTTGACTCTTTTGATGGCGCAGTGCAGGGCTGAGCTGGGGAACCGATGCTAGGAAAAGGGGCCGTAAAAGGATTTGGGGGGCTGGGGGGGGGGGGCGCGGCGATTGCGCAGTGTTGAGGCAGGGGAGAAACCACTGATTCATTTTTTTCACGCCGGTTTCATTCTGCTTGCCTTCTTGAATATGAATCTTGATTATTGTTTTTTTTTTAATGGATAAGACAAGTGACATCTACCGCCAGAACTTTATCTGTGTCAGTGTTAAACACTTAGGTCATAGCCTTTCAGAACAGCTTTCTTTGGACATAGCATTCCTTACTGATTGCACTAATGTGTATGGGGTTCCCCCCCCCCCCTTTGGGGTAGGTGGATGGGAGCTGGGAATAATGTATTAAATAAAGAATAGTAAGCAAAATTGTTCAGCCTCAAGATACAGTTACGTCTTAGATGAGTATCTTTTTATTTAAGTCAGTTTCACAGCAAAACGTTTCCATAAAAACTCATTAAGTGTAGTTTGCTAATTTTTTAAAAAAGATGAGTTGAGTACTAGTTTTTCTGTATGCATAATGTTGTATCCTGTTTCTTCAACCTCGATTTCACTTATATATTAAGAAGGCCTTTGTTAAGGGCTATAAAGTTAGGAAAACAACTGTCTGCAGAGGCATTTGGAGAGATTTCTCTTTGGGGATTGGCGAAAGGATTATTTTATTTTCCAGAATCACTTTTTCCCTAAACATCTAAACGTTTCTGGCACCAGGTCCCTTGGAGGTCTTCTGTCTATGGTGACTGATGAAAGGAAAAGCCTGTATTTTTTTTTTTCCTCCTTCATTTCAAGTCTATATTCCTAGTAAAGCCAAAGTAAAAACCTGTAGGTGTGGCTTGGGACTCCTTAGGCACAGTGCTAAGGCTTTAACAAAATTAAACAGTAAAAAATTTAAATGCATTTTTTAGGGCATGAACTGGCATTTCTATTTGCAATACTATGTGTAAATGTGGGCAATTGAGATTTCTGTTCCTCATAATACTTGGTCTTTTGAAGTAACTATTTTGCCTGGTAATATTTCAGTATCAACAAGTAGTTGAATGAAAGGTTTCTGAAAGCCTTTAGATGTTGATATTTTTTCCCTAGGTGTGTGCTAGGCACTGGGGACAGCTGTGAACAAAACAGTAAAAAATCTCTGTCATTTTAGCGTGACATTCTGGTATAGCCAAATAACGAAAATATGTGGTTTGCCAGATGTTAATGCTTGCTATGAGGAAAAATGAAGCAGGGAAATGAGACTAGGCCAGGTGCCAACAGAATGGGGGGAGGCGGGGTTGCAATTTTAAATAGGATGGTAGGGAAGGCCTTGGGGATAAGTTGGCATTCAAACAGAGCTCTGAAGCATTTAAGACAGCAGGCCACATGGACTGTCTTGGGGAGCAGCATTACAGACAGAGCAAAAAGCACCTGCAAAGACTTGAGGTGGGGTAGTGCCTAGTTTATGCAGGCAACAGCAAGGAGGCCATTGTGGTTGGAGCTGAGTGAGGGAAGTGGATAGTGGTAGATAGGACCACAGAGAAAGAGTGGGGGAGATTGTGTAGGACGTCATAGACAATTCTTTGGAAAACCACCAGAAGGTTTTGAGTAGTGTAATGAGATCGGATACGTCCTTTAAAAGGACCTCTGTGGCTGCTGTGTTGATTAGACTGTGTCAGGGGCAAGGATAGACACAGACCAGGTCGGAGGCTCTTCACTATATGAAGTGAGAGGTGTTGGTGGCTTGGAACAAGGCAGTAGCAATGAAATGGTGATGAGCTGGGTATATTTTGAAGGTAGAGCCAGGAGGACTTGCTGATGAACTGGTTATTGTGTTCATATTACAAGAAAGTAATCAAAGAAGACTCCAAGAGTTTCAACCTAATTTATAAGCATCTCTATTTACTGAAATAGGAAGACGGATGGAGAAGCAGGCTAGGGAAGATTAGTTCAGTTTTGGACATATTCATTTGATGTGCCCATTAGACACTCAAATGGAGATATCAGGTAGGCAGGACTTCTTTCAGGGGTCTCCATTTTTGTTTAGATACACATTGAAAGCCATGAAATTGGGTGACATCACCTAGGGAGTCAGTGTAGATAGTAAAGAGAACAGGCCTAGAGACATTACAACATTCCCAGGTGGGGAGGATGAAGAGGAGACATTACTAAGGAGATTAAGAAGTGTGGCCACTTGCCCTGGCTGGGTAGCTCTGTATATACCAAGGTTGTGGGTTCTATCCTAGGTCAGGACACATATAAGAAGCAACCAGTGAATGTGTAAATAAGTGGAACAGCAAATCAACATCTGTCTGTCTCTTACCCCTGCCTCACCCTCTCCCCCACCCCCATTCTTCTTTCTCTCTCTAAAATCAATTAAGAACAAAAAAGTGTGGCCAGTGAGATGAGAGGAAAACAGGAGGATATGGTATCATATTCCCGATCAATCAATAGTTTTTTGACGATTCCACAGAGCTACATGTGGGGATGAAGAAACAAGGCTAGTGAGGTAGACAGATTAGTCAGAAGGTGGTTTCTGTTTTTGCTGCATTACTTTAAAGGTACTGACAGGTTTCTATTTTACTTCTCTGGAACGGACCTATTTTTATCATACTGTATCTTAGCAAGTTGTCACCCTGCCTATAGAAGGTCTTAATTCAGTGTTATCAAACAAATTCTACCAGTTGCTTTGTGGGCTTTTTCTTAATCTATGCGTGTTCCTAGAATTTATACTCTGCAGGTGGTGGGACACTGGAATCTAATTGAGGACACAAACCATACAATGAAGTAATAAATACACTAAGACCTTATGTTAAAGTTGTCAGGACCTGAAGTTGTTATTCAGACATGACTCACAATAAAGCCCAGCATTACCAACAATGGAAAAGAGTTGTTTCATCTCAAATAGGTCTTTTAACAGCCGACAAAAATTTGAATATATAAATAAAATATTTTTTTACGGAGGACCTAGGAATTAGTGGGAGAGACCCACATGTACATACATGCACACACAGACACATGTGGGTACATGTATGTACACATACCGATGTACTGGTGCTACCCATTGTTGTCTCTCTGGCACATCTTCGCTGTTGTGCTTCTTTTATTCACCGTATATTTTCAAGATACACTTAAACAAAAAATGTCAAAGATACAAAAAAAGTTTCAAACTGATTCTTTATTGCATAGAAAAGAAAGGAATAAATACAAACAAGTGGCTGGAATTAGTTGACGTGAAGGAAGGCAGACATCATTTTGAAATTTTCTTCTCTGGCTCATTTCCTCTAAGGCTAACTATAGGAATTTACGTGGCTTGATGTACAACAAATCTTTGGCAGTGGAAAAAATGAAGGACATAATTAGACCTTTAATATAAATACACAAATCCCCATGAGGGAAGGGTCTTTGTCTCTCACTTCTGTAGTGCCTTATACCTAGTGTTTAATAAGTGAATGAATGTAGTACATATGAGTCAACAAATTGTACTGTGACCAGGATTTTCTTAAAACATCCCCCTGGGAGTCTGGATTCGGCCTGGATAATACCGAGTTGGATGGGTGGGATTCCTGCCGCAGGCTTTTGTTTAGTTCTCTTCCTTGGTGCCTCCAGCTATTTATTTTTAGCTTTGGTTATCTTGGGTGTGGTTTCCAGAATTGCTCAGAGGCAGTGGAGACCGTGGTCTAAATTCAGATACAGAATTTGAGACTGACAGTATCATCATGCATGGGAGAAAGCAAGGCTGAGAGGGTAAGGACCCTCTCAGAGAGCTCACTGACCAGCAGCAGAGAGTAGGCTAGAGCCTGGGTTGTGCTAGTACACTGGGCTTTACAGGTCGGTTTTTTCCTGCTTATTTTTACTTACTGATTTTACAGAGAAGAAGGGGGTGGGAAGACAGAGACAGAGAGAAATGTCAGATGGTTGTACCACTTATTTATGCATTCATTGGTTGCTTTTTAAATTTTTTAAAAAATATTTTATTTATTTTCAGAGAGAGGGGAAGGAGAAAGAGGGAGAGAAACATCAATGTGTGGTTGCCTCTAGCGCTCCCCCTACTGGGGACCTGACCCACAATCAAGGCATGTGCCCTGATAGGGAATGGAACCAGCGACCCCTTGGTTTGCAGCCCATGCTCAGTCCACTGAGCTAAACCGGCCAGGGTCATTGGCTGCTTCTTGTATGTGTCCTGACCAGAGATCAACCCCACAACCTTGGCTTAATTGGGATGACATTCT